TTCCCTACCCTCCCTCCCTCCCCTCCCTCTTTTCTACCTACCCCGCAGCCAGCTGGCGCGCTGGACCTTCAAGCGCTCGCTGCTCAAGTGCCTGGAGGCTGCGGTGTTGACCACCTCGGACCACCGCAAGGAGATTCTGGCCAACGACGGCGTGGGCGTGATTGTGCGCAGCTGCCGCTGGCGCCCGCACGACGCAGCCTTCAAGCCCAAGCAGGAGGTGGGCGGGCGGGCGGGGTGGCTGGCTGGCTGGCTGAGTAGCGGCTGGGCGGCTGGCTTTGCGCTGGCTGGGTGGCTGGCTGAGCAGCGGCCGGCTGGGTGGGTGGGTGGGTGCCCGCTGCTCCCGTCCTCCTCGCCCCCGCATCCTGCTGCTCCCGCCGTGCGCGGGCCCTGCCAACCTGCCTGCAGGCTGCGCCTCTCCCTTTTCTGGTGCCGCCACAGCATGTGCATACCCCCAGCCACACACACACACACACACACACTCATTCTCTCTCTCCTCTGGCCCCCTGCTCCCGCTCCCCTGCAGGCCCAGCTGGTGCGCGCCAACCCCGCCTTTGTGCGCGGCATCGCCGGCAACGCCTTCTCCTGCCTCTGCATCGCCTCGCAGAACCTGGGTGCGCGTCTGCACGCAGCTGGGCCGGCTGGCCGGCTGGCTGGGCAGGGGGGCAGGGGGGCGCTGTAGAGCGCATCAGCTGCATCAGCTGCATCTGCGTGCCTGGCCGGCGCCTCCCGCGGTACCATGTACTGCCTCCCAGCCCGCCCACAGAGTCCTCCCCTGCCTGCCTGTACCGCATGTCCTGGTACTGCAGACGACGACAAGAGCTACTGGAACCAGGTGGCCTCCAAGCTGGCAGAGGCCACGTCAGCAGGTGCGCCACGTCAGCAGCCCTGCGCCACGTCAGCAGCCCTGCGCCACGTCAGCACCCCCGCGCCGTCGCTGCGGCAGGCCTGCCGCGGCCGCCGCCGCCGCGTGCATGCCCTCGCCCTCGCCCTCGCCCTGTGGGCCTGCGTGCCTGCCCTTCTTGCCATGCCCACCTGCCCCGCCACCCCCGCCCGCTTGCCTGCCCTTTGCTGCGCCTGCTGCCGCCCGCCCGCCCCCTCACTTTGCCTGTCCTTCCCCCGTACCGCCCGCCTGTACCGCCTATACCGCAGACGAGCTCATGTCCTTTCACAAGTGGATGCCGGCGGGGCAGGACGACGCGCAGGCGCTGCTGAACGCAGACAAGGTGCGGCGGCGCGGCACCGCAGGCAGCGGCGCGCGCGCCGGAAGCAGCTTCAACTGCGGCTGCCTGCCCGGCGGCCCCTGCCCGCGCCTGCTCTGTGCTCCAGGCAGAGCCTTTGGCCCTGCTGCTGGCCCACCCGGCGGCCCGCCGACCCACCCACCCCCGCCCCCGCTCCCCTCCTCCCTCCGAGCAGCTGAGCTGCTCCTGGGGGCTGCACACCGCGCTGTGGCGCCTGCTGCACCCGTTGACGTACAACAACAAGGAGCAGCGCGCGGTGTTTGCCGCCAACGAGGGGTACATACGCGTGGCGGCCGCCGCGCTGGCGCTGCCAAACTCGGGTGAGGGGGGCAGCCTGGCGCGGGGTGCGGCAGGGGTGGCAGCAAAGAGATGAGCCGAGCCACCCGTCTGTGACATGTGGTCGTGTGTATGTGTGTGTGTGTTTGTGTGGAGGGGGATCTGTGTCTGGCGGCGGAGTGGTGGTGGGCGGCGTGGGTGTGGTGTGTGTGTAGGGGACACGCGCCAACACATGCTCGGTTCGACCTTGCCTGTGGCTTGTGGGCGGACAGTCTGCTGGCTGCTCCGCTGGCAGCTACCCGCAACCCGACCTTGCCCCTGCCCCGCGCCGCCGCAGACGAGGCGTTGACCAAGGGCCGCGTGTGCGCCTTCAAGCCCACCGTGATGTACATCCTGTACAATGCGGCCATGTGAGCGGTACTGCCGGCGGTACCGCCGGCAGCGCCATGCACGCCGCTGGCGCCGCGACGCAGGCTGCCCAGAGCGGGCCAGGGGCCCTGTGTGCTGCCGTGTGCCTCCTTCGTGCTTGCGCTGTGGCCCCCTTCCCTTCCCCTCCACCAACCCAACCCTCCTCCCCCTGCCACGCCCCAACCCCGCGCCCTCCCACCCCCCGCAGAATCGACGACGCGTGCCGCAAGCAGCAGCTGGGCCTGGGCGTGCACGTGCGGGCGCTGGAGCTGCTGTGCCAGAGCTTCCAGATGGCGGGGGAGCAGGACCGTCGCATCCTCAAGGCCGCTGCCACGTCGAAGCGGGGCAAGGCGGCGGGCGGCGCGGCCGCGGCGGCCGTCACGGGCGCCAAGGATGCCAAGACCTTCCAGGCGGGGGTGGGCGGCCAGGCGGACGCCGCCTCGCTGCTGCTGGAGGGGCTGCTGCTCAAGGTGAGGGGCGGGGCCGCGGCGTGCGGCTGAGGGCCGGGGCTGGGCGGCGGAAGCTGCTCTGTTGGCTGGAGTGCGAAGGCTCTGCGGCTGGCGCCGGTGGCCGCCCCTCTCCGCAGCCAGGACAGGCTGGCTTGCGCGGGCGTGCCGCCGCTGCTGCCGCCGCCGCCCGCAGCCAACCAGCCAGCCAGCCTGGCCCACGCACCGTCCTAGCCAGCCGCACACGCACCGCCCTAGGCAGCCCGCAGCATACGCACAGCGCGGGTGTTGTGACTCCCTGGTGTGACTGCCTCCTCCCTGCGCCTGCCCGCCCGCCCGCAGACGGACGCCGAGACGCGGTCTCTGTGCCGCGAGCTGATGCAGCAGGGCAAGCTGGCGGCTGTGCAGAAGGCGCTGAACAACCGCATCGGCAGCAGCTACTCGGGTAGGTGGGGGCAGCCAGCCGCTGCTTCTAGCATCCTGGGATAGGCTGCTGCTGACAACATGGGATAGGCTGCTGCTGAGTGGAGGCAGCCAGCCGCTACTTGTAGCATCCTTGGATACGTGGTTGATGCCGACAACAGCCGGCAGGAAAAAAACAAAATTAGCGGAAAAAACGATCGGCCTGCCGCTGGTTGCGCGCTGCCGGCGAGGCTGCGGCCGGCGCGCCGGCGCTGCACACACCACAGCACTCCCTGCGACGCCCGTGCTCATCGCGTTCCCCGTGTGCGCCCCTCCCTGCATCGGCTCCCCGCGCCGCAGAGAGCACCCTGCAGACCGCCGAGCGCAGCTTCCTCAAGGTGCTGCGCCACGCGGAGCAGGCGGTGTCGGAGCAGCGGCAGCAGCAGCAGCAGGCGGCAGCGGCCGAGGCGGAGCGGCTCGCCGCGGAGCTGCTGGCCGCGGAGGAGGCGGCGGCGGCCAAGCGCGCCGCCCGCGCCGCCAAGCAGCATCAGCGCCACCGGCGGCTCCACCTCCTCCGGCGCCGCCGCGGGCGGCCCCTCCCCGCCCCCGCCAGCAGCGGCAGCAGCAGCGGCGGCGAGGAGGAGCCGCCGGCGGCGGCGCCGGAAGAGGCGCAGCCGAGCGGGGCTGCCGCCGCCAGCAATGGCGCTGGGAGCGAGGAGGGCGGCGGCGGGGAGGGCGAGGCTGCTGCCAGCCGCAGCGGCAGCGGCAGCCCGCGCGGCGGCGGCGGCGGCGCCGACGACGAGCCGGCCGCGGCCGCCGCCCCGGCTGGGCCTGCGTCCGACGTGGAGCAGCAGCAGCAGCAGCAGCAGCGCGACAGGAAGGCGGCGGCGGCCGGCAAGGAGAGCCAGCAGCAGCAGGGCTACCAGAAGCTTCTCGAGGAGTGGGAGGCGGCAGAGGCGGCGGCGGCGGCCGAGGCGGCCGCCGCCGTGGCCGCCAAGAAGCGCAGCAAGAAGCAGCAGCAGCGGGAGAAGGCCAAGGAGAAGAAGCAGGCCAAGGCGGGGGCAGGCAGCTCCGCAGCCTCCACACCCGTCACCTCTCCCAAGGCTGCGGCCGCCAGGCCCGCCACCACCGCCGCCGCAGCCGCCGCCGGCGGCGGGCCCAAGGTCAT